CCAGACGTCCAAGGACGCCCCCAAGAGGCCCCAAGAAGCTTCCAACATGCGTCCCAAGAGGGCCCCTAGACGCAAAAATTGGCCCATTCCCTTCGTAAAACGTACATTTTCAACAAAGTTGTCTTTTGGGTTTCCGACGTTACAGGACGGCCCAAGAGGCGCCCAAGACCGCCCCAAGACGGCCCAAGAAGCTTCCCAGAGGGCCCCAGGACAGCCCAAGAGGGCCCCAAGACGGCCCAATAGGCGCCCAAGATGGCCCAAGAGGGCCCCAAGACGGGCCCAAGAGGGGGCCCAGAGGGGGACCACGAACCGCCAGCTCGAGCCTTCCGCCCCAAGAGGCCGCCAGGAGGCCCCCAGGAGGCCCCTCAAGAGGCCCCAGGAGACCCCAGACGTCCAAGGACGCCCCCAAGACGCCCCAAGAAGCCTCCAACATGCGTCCCAAGAGGGCCCCTAGACGCAAACATTGACCCATTCCCTTCGTAAAACGTACATGTTTCACAAAGTCGTCTTTTGGGCTTTCCGACGTTACAGGACGGCCCAAGAGGCGCCCAAGACCGCCCCAAGACGGCCCAAGAAGCTTCCAAGAGGGCCCCAGGACAGCCCAAGAGGGCCCCAAAGCGGCCCAAGAGGTGCCCAAGATGGCCCAAGAGAGCCCCGAAACGGGCCCAAGAGGGGGCCCAGAGGGGGACCACGAACCGCAAGCTCGAGCCTTCCGCCCCAAGAGGCCGCCAGGAGGCCCCAAGGAGGCCCCTCAAGAGGCCCCAGGAGACCCCCAAGAGGCCCAAAGGAGGCCCCGAGAAGCCCAAATCGGCCCCCAAAATGCTTCGAACCTGCTTCCAGGAGGCCCCCGACAGGTTCAGAGGCTCCCGAGAAGCTACGTCAAACTCCCAGCGAGCGACGGGACGAGGCCCCCCACAAAATCACAAGAGGCTCCACAGGCGGCCCAAGAGAGCCCCAAGATGGGCCCGAGAGGGATTCCACGCAAGTTGTTATTGTATGGCTCGGGAAAGGACGAGGATGAGGAGGAAGACGAGGAGGAGGAGGAGGAGGAGGAGGAGGAGGAAAAGGAGGAGAGGGAGGAGTAGGAAGAGGAGGAGCAGGAGAAGGAGGAGGAGAGGAGGAGAGGGAGGGAGGATGAAGAAGGAGGGAGCAGCGAAGGAGGAGAGGGGTGCTGTGGACCCGCCCGAAGCTTCCCCGCGGAGTCCTGGGGGCACCTTAGGTTAGGGCCCCTCGTTCCGCAGCGGCTGGGCGCAGCCCGAAACGTTGGAGCGTTCGGAGTCCCGGGGTCGATTTTGAGACACTTTGCGTTTCCAGTGTCTTCGCCCTTTCTTCCTCGACAGATTGGGCCCGCCAGATATTGGCGCCAGATTCTGTACTGCGTTGGCATCCAAGATTTCAGTGTCTCGCCCTTCTCCTCCGACAGTCCAAGCTCCAGTGGACACTCAGGGTGACCAGGGTTGAAGATTTTACTTGCTCATATATATAGATATAAAGATATATATATATATATAAAAAAAATATATATATATATGTATCGGAGTAGGGCCCGGGGGCGCCCCGGGGCGGTGCCAGTAATCTCCATGGGGGGTGCAGGGCGCCCCCGGGAGCGTCCGAAGCGTCCCGGAGGGCCCCTGGGACCGCCAGGAACAGTTCGAGACCGCCAAAGACGGCCCGCGAGCGCTCCACGACGCGCATAGATAGCCTCAGGAATGGCCAGGAAGGCCCGAAGACGTTCCAAGAGAGCTCCATGGGGCCCCGAAGGCATCCCAAGAGGCCTCCCAAGAGAGCCCCGACAAGCCAAAATCGTTGATTGTTATTGTTTTTTGTTCGAGGTTTTTGGCCTTCTCGCTTTTTTGAGGTTCCGACGCTCCAATACCGTCCAAGAGTCTCCCAAAACCGCTCCAAGACGGCCGAAGAGGCCCCCGAAACCGCCCTAAGACGGCCCAAGAGACCCCCAAAATCGTCCCAAGACGGCCCAGGAGAGCCCCAAGATGGCCCAGGAGCCGCCCAAGACGGTTCCAGGAGAGCCCCGACAGGGCTTCAAGACTGCCTAAGCGAGCCCAGCAGTCCCCAAAGGGCCACCGCCACCCAAAGGCCCCGAAAGAGGCCCCCAAAACTCCCCGAGGCCCCCAGAAGGCCACCCAAGAGGCCCCACAAATGGCCTGAGCCGCGCCCCAAGACGCCTCCAGGAAGCCCAACAGGCCACCGATAGCCCCCAAGAGGCCCACTGGAGGCCTCAGGAGGTCGTCCCCATCATGTTCCCGGAAAGGCGACCGGGAACATGAATTCCTCTCCTTGGAGGAGTGTCCTGTGATATACATGTCTTACGTTTGGGTCTATATATATATATATATATATATATATATATATATATATATACATATAAATACCCCTCCCCCAAGCCCTCCCGAGTCGTTCCACTTCCTTCCACGTATTTCAAAGTCTTCCCCATATATAGAGGCCCCCAAGATGCCCAACAATGGCTGTGAGCGCGCCCCAAGACGCCTCCAGGAGAGCCCCACAGGCCTCCGAGAAGCCCCCAAGAGGCCCACGGGAGGCCCTCAGGAGATCGTCCCCGTCATGTTCCCGGAAGGCGGTCTGGGAACATGATTCCGCGCCTTGGACGAGTATTCTGTGCTTTCCGAGGCGCCTTCCGAGGCGCCTTGGACGACGTACGTATGTTTCTATAGATTGTCTTTTTTCCTGTGTACACAATCCTACATGTCTTACGTTTGGGCCTCTCTCTCTTTCTCTCTCTCTCTCTATATATATATATATATGTATATATATATACATAGGCACACACATTATAAAAAAAACATTAATATATATAATATACATATGTGTACTATCTACCATATATATATACATATGTGTATACATATACATATATATACACCCCTTCCCCAAGCCCTCCCGAGTCGTGCCACTTCCTTCCACGCATTTCAAATTCTTCCCCATATATAGAGGCCCCCAAGATGCCCAACAATGGCCCTGAGCGCGCCCCAAGACGCCTCGAGGAGAGCCCAAAAGGCCACCGAGAGGCCCCCAAGAGGCCCATTGGAGGCCCTCAGAAGGTCGTCCCCATCATGTTCCCGGAAGGCGGTCCGGGAACATGATTCCTTATCCGCAGCCCAACGGTCCTTATCCGCAGCAGCTTTGGAGTAACACGTGTGTTCGTGCTGTCAGTCGTCGTTTCCTCACGCATGGAGCTGTGTCATGTGGGGAGTCATCCCGACGTGTATAGCACAGTCGGGGGTGTCTCATACTTTTGCCCAACGTATTTCTTCAACATCTCCAGCGCCTCCATGCCGACAGCGCCGCTTCTCACCCTGCCCGGACCACCCCAAGACGGCCCAAGAGACCCCCAAGAGAGTCCCAAGACTGGCCAAAAGGGCCACAAAACGGCCCAAGAGGAGTCCAATACGGCTCAAGCGAGCCCCAAGACGGTCACAAGAGAGGAACACGAACCCACAATTCGAGCGTTTCACCCGACGACGCCTCCCAGGAGGTCCCATGACGCCCCCAAATTCGCGGCGCCCCGTTGGGCCCATGTTGGGACGTCTTCGATCAGTCAGAGG